AAGTTGAGCTTAAAACGTATGCTAATATCAGTTAAGTAGGTAGGTTTACTTTTTTATTGGGCAACCTGCAAATTTTTGCAACCTAGCCCATTCAAAAAGTAAGCCCTGCAATTTTTTATCGTCCACTTTGTTTATACATAGTTACTATTAACAATTAACTTAGGTTATCAGTTGTGAAAGATAACTCACATTAGTAGTTGATTCTGTCTCTCTATCCACCACTAGTGTAGGCTCATGTCTTGTTTGTGGAATAGATTCACCGATTATCAGTATGAGACAAACTATTGACGTAATTACACCAACAGCAACAAGCAAATGCCAATCTTTAAGCGTCTGTTGGAAAGAAAAGAAAGAAAGAGAGAGAGAAAAGAGAGAAGGATATGGATATGTGTAATGATATGCTATGTAAACTTATAGCTCTAATTTTATCATTGATATTACAAGTAGTTTTTAAACATTGTGACAAGTTATAGGCTTACTCTTTTGCTAGCAGTAGGGTTGTGAAAAATGTAATACACTCGCCACATTTTAGCCAGCACAGCAGAGAATGCAATGATATAACCAATCATTGCAAGCCAATAACCAACCTATAGGGGAAAAATAATAAAAATAAGGTATGGTTGTTTTTTATATTCTTTGATTCAATTTCAAAATCTTGTTCTAGAATCTCATTTGTAAATTCTATTCTTACAATACATCTGAGGTGAAGGCTGTATGTGTCCAGTCCAGGCAGTAATAGGAATATGACTGATGAGTACATTACCAATGAGCCAGCACCTATTGTGTAGTTAAGATTAGGACTTGTCAACTTAATGATCCTATAATAGGCAGAGAATTAAGAGAGAGAGAGAGAGGAGTGAAAATACATAAGTTTCCTTAATTTTTTTTTTACTTTTTGTTCCTAAAGTAGACATTAAATGCCAGACATCCAATTGCAAACACTGCCCCCAGTATAGCTGCAGTATAAAATATGACATTAAGGGATACATGGATGGTATTAATAATCTTTATCTCTGTACCATCAGGTGGTATACCATCTAGAAGAGAGAGGGAGGGAGGGAGAGAAATAGAAGTGAGATTTACAGTAAAATAAGAACATGTATATGTATCAGAATAAATTATAAAAATGAAAAATTCTCTCCTTGGCAAAATTTGGCCCGAGACCATGTACTATAATAGTACAGGGACTTTTGTCGAATTTTGAGCAAAATCCAATTTTGATTGAAATTAGCTCAAAACATATAATGTATTAATAAAAGTATGATGTGATAACTTACTAGGCCATACGGCTGTGTCATTCCTATATCTAAAGGTGTTGTTATCAGCCAGACTAAGCGTCCCTATTAACACTCTCACTGTATTCTCTTGATACTGAAATATTGTGAATGCTTCTTGGACACGAGTGCCATTGGCATTAAATTCTACATATCCCTAAGAGAAGTGAGATAAGAGTAAAAGAGAGAGAGGAGGAGAGAGAGAGTAGGAAGAGAGAGGGGAGAGAGGAGGAGGAGGAGGAGGAAGAGAGAGGGGGGGAGAAAAAAAGATCAAAAGCAGTGGAGCACAAAGGAGAGGAGAGAGGAGAGAAAGGTGAATATTAAAGGAAATGACATCATTATGCAATCAAACAAATTGTGTTAAGTGTGTGTTGACGACTAGCAATGTGCAGGCTCATTATCACAGTTTGCACTAGATGTACAAGTATAGCAACAGGGAATGACCAAAGTATCAATACCACAGAGCCACAAATAGTTTTCTTATTGAATGAACACATTTAAGACACACATCCATAATTAGATATACATGTACATAGTAGTTATGCATGAATACTTTCTGCCTTTATATACATATGTACATGTACATGCAGACCTGCAGGTATTTATGGCTTTGAGAATGTTTACTAACACTATATATGTGTATGTACATGTCATGGGCACTTACAGAGACTCCTTCAAATCCAGTCATATTCATCGATTTATTAATCATACACTCGACCTGATCATTATAATACATGAAATCCTCCAGCTCTGTTAGTGGTCCACCATTACAGCCTAAGGTCTCATTAGCACACACTGCCCTCTGAACTCTATCAAGACCCAGTGCCAGGGACCACAGTGCATCAAAGGCTGTCAGGGCGTCAGGGATTGGGTTATAAACTGATGGAGGTAGTTGATTGATGTATTCCGTATCGTTTAAGCGACTTCTATACCTAGCATCAAACTGGTCTGCCGTCTTTAAAAAGAAATCTTTAATTCAAAAATTATGAAGTATGGTAACTTACTAGGCCACTAATTGTAGGGGCAGACCCATTTAGTGCGAGTGGCAATTGTTGCAGTATCAACACTCTGTCTAACTGAGTCTGTAGATTTTGAGTGGTACAGGGTACGTTAATACTGGGATTAGCATCAATGTCCCACCAGCGAGTCTGTCATGTGATCATGTGACTATCATGTGATAGAAATGGACGCTTACCTGGTACCATCCGAACGTGATGAATGCATAGTTTGGATAGCGCTTATTCAAATGATAAAACTAGAAAAGAAAGAGACGATTGATCAAGGTAGATTATTAATTGATCAAAGTAGAATTGAAGTAAAAATATAAAATATTTAAAGCGTACACTTCTTATTTCTTTACCTGACAGAGAATAGCAATGGCGCTGTTTGCATATGCATTTATAAAGAAAATGTGAGTTCCATTGTGACCATTCTATATATACAAAAAGAAAAGAAATAATTACATTTATATACCTATACCATTTGTATTCTTATAGTATCCACATGTATGGGTGTATGTTCATTATTATTTTTAACTTACTGTATTTATGACGTCACGGATGACCCCAGCTGCAGTGTCGTTGGACTGAAATGTTTGAGACTGACTATAAATACCAGCTGCTGTCAACTCTTCAAATAAAGAGCGTTCATTCTACACCATAACAATAAAACATGTTATTACGTACGTGATAATTCATTCCATATTTATCTTACTCCGGTAAAAAGTGGAGACTCTTCGGTGAATATAAAAACTCTTTTCCAGCCCAAGCCTCTCACGAGACCAACAAAAGCCGGCACAAAGTTCCCGTCTGATGGATAGGTCCTGAAAAAGGAGGGAAAAGTGGTTCTATCGCTAAGCTGAGCAGCCGCTGAAGAGTAGGACACCTTAAAAATATAAATATAATATTTAAATAATGATATAGCGCCCTTACTATAGGTAAGCTCCAATAGTGAGATATTTCTGCTACCGGGAGGGTAGCAGCTGAACAACCAGCTGCTACTGCGGCTACGTATTGAGTGCGACTAGATATCATTTCAAAGAATTCATTAAGACCTTGTCTGTGATCACACTATTGAAGAGAAGGAGAGATAAGATCATAGAACATTGCAAACAAGGACTCCCTTATTGTATATTTCTTTTATCAAATGAATTATCAATTGGAAAGCAACAAAAACTGACATGGGAATAAAAACATTAATTCATTATGCTTGTGTGTTTTTTTAACAGTTAGTTACTTGGAACCGTGACATGTACACAAGCAAGGAAAATCCATTTTTAACAGCAACAAGTACAAAAATTATTATATATAGATCTAATGCATTTTAAAAATCTTTCTCACTTTGCTATCGTAAATGGTGCCATTGTAACTGAGCTCGTATCCTGGTAGTATGCTAGTGTTCCTGTTAATGAGCTCCAGTGCTAGATCTACAGCAGGAATAATACCCGCCAGTACATAGTCACTCTGTGGATCAACAGCAGTCATGAATCCGAAGTAAAGAGGGACGGGGGGAGAAGGTGTGTTGGGTGGGCAGACAGCCTTGACTCCATCTTGAGTGAAGAGAAAGAGGAGAAGGGAAAGATACACAGAGCGTAGGCTTGCTTTCATGTTTAATAACAAGGAGAGCCACTTGCTTGGCAGCTATGAGACAGCTATTAGCAGCTATTACAGAGCCTTTGTTAAGTTGCAATACGACTTACTACTACTATATAAAGCAGCTAATTTTATGATGTGTCTTCCTGTTCAATCTCTGCCCACATGTGCCTTTGTGGCTAATTCTATTTGATGCATTTTATTAAGTGGATATTTGTACTAGCAGGAATTAAAAATATAATATCAAGAGTGAAGCCACTCAATCCATACACCTGTGCATAACCAGCCATAAGTGTCACTGTAGAGCCATATAAATCATTTTGGCAGTTGCTGCATGTGATAGATTGGACTTCACTATGTTCACACAAACATTAAATCATCTTTTACTGACTAAGTCTACAGGAAATAATACAAGTGGCTCTTGTAATTTGTGTTCATATTGAATTACCTGAGGCTATAAGCCATCATTAAAGCAGCAAGATTCATGATCTATAATAATATACACTATGTAGCCTTGTACTACAGTATAGACCTTTGTAGTCACAGTCCATTTAGATAATGACAAACTGAGCAATCAATTATCTACTTATTGTTAATAATGCTTGACTTATTAATGGTTATTACCATAATGAGAAGATTATTATGTAGTTGAAATGTATGCGTACAATAATATGCTTACTAGTTTGTCTGATTCTGATAGTAAATACTGTATTGATAGAGCTACTCTATATATGGTCAGTAGAGACAGACTATTCAACTATTACCTATAGTAGATGCATATAATATGTAGATAGTATAGACCAATATAACTGTGGTATTATCAATAGAGGAATCAAGATCTACTCAATCATTAATTATTAATTAGGTTTGAAAGAAAGTTCAAATTAGCAGCTGTAATTAGCCAATCAGTACCAAAGATAATGTTGATGATCAAAGTGATGATTTCAATCTTGTACATAAATAGTAATTTAATTATTAAAGATATCAATGATGATGATGATGATGGCATGAGATTTAGATGAATGCTATGATTTAAAATATGGATATGTACCAAAATATAAAAGGATCAAGAAGGGATATGAAAAGGGAAATTAAAGAATGAATGACACCTGCACACAAATACTTGTGTACATGTACATGTACATGGGCCAAGAATGTCACTGTATGGATATACAGATTATAAAGTTGAAGAAATCATATTAATAGGAAAATAAAAATAAAAGAGAATTAAGATACAAGTGGTAGTGTGTTTGTTTGTTGCATATTTCATTGGATAGAATCTTCTGTGAAAGAAGCAGCTGCATTTCCATTGCTAGCTCTACTTGATGGAGGAGCAGGAGGAGGAGGAGGAGAGAGGGAGTTTTTCTTGCTTAGTTCCAGTTGCTCAATAGAATCTTCAGTTCGTCTGATGTTGTTTTCATTAACAGGAGGAAGAGCTTTTGGAGACAGAAATCCTGATAATAGACTCCCTCTCTTCTCACCGCCATTCTAAAAAAACGAAGAACAAAAGAGAAAGAATTAGGTATTGCTTTGAATAACAAAGCATCGTGGCTTGGAAAAGTACTGCATGTTTTTAAAAATAGCTTTGCGGTTTTGAAAATTGCAAATAATAATTATAATAACAATAACACACTCACCTCCGCTCTGCTTTGTCTCAGCTCTTCCTCAAGTTCGACGATTCTTGCATTAAGTATGGATATGGTAGCCTTAGGGTCATTACTAAGCGTAGCTAAGGCAATGTTGATCCCTAGGCTATCCTTTCTCAGAGAGTCGACAGTACCACTAGCTGTCGTGATCCCTCCTCCTCCTCCTCCTGGCACTAAACTAGGGACGGCCTTTAAGCCGGAGGACCTAAAAACCTTCTTGCCTTCTGGATCCTTGTATAAGCTATGCATCTAATGAAGGAATGGAAAATTAAAAGTATTGTGAGCAAGAAATTGCTTTTATAGTATTCAATTAAGGGACATATTGATTTCATATATTATGCTGCTATGTGTAAAAGGCATGTACCTTAAGATAAGTTAACATATGCATGATTGGCAATTAAGAATTAAATTAATGTATTTTACTGGCAAATGCGATATAATGGAGAGGAGAGAAAAAGAGAGAGAGAGAGGTGATCTACCTTTGGTATAAATATTAGTACAAGGAAGGCAGTGGAAGCAGCTGCTATGCTAAAACAGAACAGGGTGGCATGAACATTGATAAAAGCACCAAGAGCGAATGTCGTCATGATGATTAAGACCACACAGACACTGGTCACATAAATAATAGCAGTGACTTGTTTGGCTTCGTTTAATATTTTCACTTTCACTTTCCTAGTCTGGAATGCAAGGAATATACCAATGACTTGCAGTAGGAACAGGTAGGCCATTATGAGAGCCTGATAAGAAATGGCGTCATGAGAACTGAAGCAGGTGTACGTACAGTAATTGACAATGACATCTTGTTCCTAAAGTGAAATAACAATTATAATAATTTATTTTAATTTTTGCAGACAATTTTAGAATAAAAAGAAGCTCAATTTTTTTTACTTCTTGAGGACAGGTCTTTGGCCTGGTTTTTAAGCAACTTTAAAAATTTGTACAAAATCCAATTTCGATCAGAATCAGCTCAAACTTTCTACACAACATAAGTACATGTATATGCATCAGATAACATTATAAAAATGGAGAATTCTCACCTTTTCATTTTTGGCAAAATTGACAAAAATCCCTGTACTATAGTACAGGGACTTTGACCTGATTTTTGAGTAACTTTAAAAATTTGTAAAAAATCCAATTTTGATCGGAATCAGCTCAAACTTTCTACACAACATAAGTACATGTATATGCATCAGATAACATTATAAAAATCAAGAATTGTTGCCTAGCCATTTTTGACAAAATACACTGTACTACTAGGATACTACAGGATACTACAGGATACTATAATACAGGATACTTTGTCAAAATTTTAAAGAAAAATACCTTTTTTACAAATTATAATCACTCACATTTTTAGTTGATCCTTTCTCCCCATCAACCACTAGTGTAGGCTCATGCCTTGTATCTGGTACAGCCTCACCAATTGATAATATCATTATTACAATTAACGTAAGTATACCCATGACACTTAGCAAATGCCTATCCTTAAGAGTCTGAATGTGAAAGAAAAAAAAGAAAAAAAGAAATATAATTTTATTACAAATATTTATTATTTTTACCAACCCTTTTGCTTGGAGTAGGGTTGTGAAAAATGTAATACACTCGCCACATTTTAGCCAGCACAGCAGAGAATGCAATGACATAGCCAATCATTGCAAGCCAGTAACCAACCTATAGGGAAAAATAATAAAAAATAGCTATACTCAAAATTTCAGGTTCCATTCCTAAATATTTAGGTTTCATTCCAGTCTCACTTACAATACATCTGAGGTGAAGACTGTATGTATCCAGTCCAGGCAGTAATAGGAATATGACTGATGAGTACATTACCAATGAACCAGCACCTATTGTGTAGTTAAGATTAGGACTTGTCAACTTAATGATCCTAGAAGAAAGAGAGAGAAAGAAAAAAAGAAGAGTGAAAATACATAAGTTTCCTTAATTTTTTTTTTACTTTTTGTTCCTAAAGTAGACATTAAATGCCAGACATCCGATTGCAAACACTGCCCCCAGTATAGCCGCAGTATAAAATATGACATTAAGGGATACATGGATGGTATTAATAATCTTTATCTCTGTACCATCAGGTGGTATACCATCTAAAAGAGAGAGGGAGGAAAAGAGATATTAAAACAAATGTATGTTAATGTGTACATCTCTTTCTTTCTCCTTTCTCTCTCTCTCTCTCT